TTCGTAGAAAGAAAGATTTGAAGTGATTTTAATCTCTTAGTTTAAAGGAAGACAGAGAGTGTATACACCGACGCCATTGTGATCGATTCTGAGCCATGTCACCAAGAGTCTCCAACCATTGGTTACGATAGTCACGCGGACCCCAACCAGGCAGTCTGAATCTCCCAACATGGCTCAGCCCAGAAGTTAGTGACTTCAAGCACTGATGCCACGTTTTGGTTTGGCCGCCCCTAACTTTCTTCCAATTATCCCCTGCACTAGTCAGCATTGCGCGTCGTGGTAATCGGTGTTCAGGCATACGCAACACGTGGCCCAACCATCTCAGTCGATGAAGATTCATAACCTCATCAACTGATTTACCATCATTCCCTAATACCCTACGTTTAACCTCACTATTACTTACCCGGTGATCCCAGCAGATACCCGCAATGTTTCTAAGGCACCTGTGATCAAATACCAGTAACTTACGAATATCTTCCACGCTTAAAGGCCATGTTTCGCAGCCGTATAGAAGGACGGAACGAACTGCCGCGCAGTATACTCGTCCCTTAATTGATAGACGGATATCTCGCCTTCGCCATAGATGACGTAAGTTGGCAAAGGCCAAGCGAGCTTTTCGAATCCGTGCTGAGATTTCGTCAGACACCAACCCATTAGGGCTGATCAGACTTCCAAGATAAGTGAAGTTGTCAATGCGTTCGACTACTTCACCCCCTATCCTTAGTTCAGGTGTTGATGCAGACCAGTCCTGAAGCAACAACTTGCATTTAGAGGGAGAAAAGCGCATCCCAAACATTCTAGCATTGTTGCTCAGTGCTACCAAAAGACTCTGCATTTCATCAGCGTCTTCACCAAACAGGACTATGTCATCTGCGTATTCTAAGTCAATAAGTGGACCTCCTGGTAGGAGATCAATACCCGAGAAGTCAGTCGATGAGAGCGTTATTTCCATCAGTAGATCTATGATGAAGTTAAACAAAAAAGGAGAAAGTGGACAGCCTTGACGGACGCCACTTGAGGTTGCAAAAGCAGATGACAGTTCGCCATAAGCTCTGACTCGACTAGTAGTGTTCGAGTAAAGAGCCTTCACAAGGTTTATGTACTTCTGAGGTACGCCTTTCAATGACAGACACTGCCACAGAACCTCTCGGTCAACAGAGTCAAACGCTGCTTTTAAATCAAGGAATACCACCATTGTCGGACGCCGATAAGTATGCCTGTGTTCTAGAACCTGACGAATGGTGAATATGTGGTCGATGCAACCACGACCAGGTCTGAAGCCAGCCTGATTTTCACGTGTTTGCAGTTCACGAGTCTTAGTTAGGCGTCCGAAAATTATCGAAGCTAGTATTTTAGATACTATATTAGTCAAACTAATCCCTCTGTGGTTGTCACAGGATGATTTTGACCCTTTCTTAAATATTGGGACGATAAGTGATTGTGACCAGTTAGATGGGATAACGTCTAACTCCCAGATTTTAGCTAAAATATTAGTCAACCTTATCGCTAAAACTAGACCACCATCCTTAAAGACCTCTGGGGCCAATCCATCTGGACCAGCTGCCCTTCCTCGTTTCAGATTAGCTATAGCCTTTTGAATTTCAGCTAGAGTTGGGGGACCTACTTCAATGTTCCATTCACACTGTCTGGGAATAGAGGGTAGTTGTAGAGTAGCTGAAGGCCAGCTAAACTGCTCCTTAAAGTGTTCCGCCCATCGTTCTAAGCGTCTGGACTGGGAGCAGATGAGAGTGTCGTCTTTTTCCGAAATGGTCTGACTTACACTTGATTTATTAATTCCAGTTTCTTTTATTAGTCTGTAGAGTTGTCTTGTGTTCCCTATAGCCGCCGCCTTTTCCATCTCTTTTGCTTTCGTTGCCCACCAATGCTCACGATCATTCCTTAGACTTTTGCTTAATCTAGATTTGATTTCTTTACGCTCTTCATCGTATTCAAAACCTGATGGGATGAGTTTGCGAGAATCTATCAGTGCAATAGACCTTGACGAAATCCATTGGTTTTTTGTAACCATTTGGTTTAAATCACTGGTAGATGTCACTGCTGTTTCCACAGCTGCTTGTATAACTTTCCAAGCAACATCTGGGTCAGTCTCGTTTTCAGAACTACCTAAGTGTGACCTCAGTTGTTCCTGGAACCTACTTTTGGCTTTCTCATTACTCAATTCGGTTCTAATGAGTCTTTTTTGTGTGGCTCTTTTGCGTCCAGTGAGGCGCAAGCAGATGCGTGCTCGTACTAGGGCATGATCAGAGTCCAAGCAGGTACCCCAGAATGAGCGACAATCTTCTATTGACCCTCTCCAACGATGACTGATGGCAATATGGTCTATTTGAGTCCATCGTTGGTTTGGTGCAGGGGGTCGCCATGTTAGACGATGTCTCTCCTTATGCTTAAAATTTGTGTTTGCTAAAAATAAACGATTGTCTGAGCACAGTTGCAGCAGACGATCACCATTATCTGTTCGCTGTGCCGGAATACTAAAATACCCACCTAAACGTCTTTCTGTTTCGTTTAAGCTACCTACCTGGGCATTAAAGTCACCTCCTACGAGTACTATGTCTGAACGTTTAGCTTTCTGAAGAAGTTCAGACAGCTTTCTGTAAAATTCATCTTTCACTTCATCGGAACTGCAGTCAGTGGGAGCGTAGGCAGAAACGACGAAAAGGCAACGACGTGTGTCCCTATCCTTCCGAGTTCTTACGGAGCCGTTTAGCCGAACAGCGCATAGACGACTGTTAACGGGGATCCACTCTAATAGCGCTTGTTCCGCCCTCATGCTTAGTGCTATGCCTATACCTGCCAGTCCACGAGAACTAGCCATCGGGTCGCCAGATACACGGAGGGTGTATCTCGTTGGCTCTCCGTTTTGCCGAGGTGAGGTCAAGTGAATGACCACACTAGGATCCTGTATGCGTGTTTCGGAGACACAGCATACATCAATCGTAAGAGATTCTAAGGTTTTAGCCAAGGAAGCCTGCTGACCGATTTGGCATAGTGTGCGTACGTTGAAGGCTCCAATGTATAGTTTGGAGCGAGGTTTCAGTAGACCTGGGACAGTGTTTTGCGCACTAGAATCGTTGGCTGTGGTGACACTTGAGGAGGAAGCTAAAAGAGGAAGTTTAGTGTATAAAGTCGATGTAGGAGGAATAATAGGAATTGAAGAGGGAGGTTGACTATGAATACAGTGGTCTTGAGTGCTGTTAGAGGTATGAGGGCGGTTATCACTTCCCGGTTGCCCACACCGTGGAAGGGTTCTTCTGGAGGTACCTGAAAAGGAAATTGGATTAGAGTTGGTCATAGTGACCTGAGAGCGTGACCGCAGTGCCCAAGGGACAGCTGCTTGAGGTCGGTCACACACGACCTTTTTATGAGTGATTTTTGTGTTAGCTCCGTACTTGTTGATACCTTACCGCCGGAGACGGATATCCGTGGGATAAGGCGAGGTGTGCATTTTTAGGGTCGACCTTTTCTAACCCCACCCCTCCTTGTGGGAAGGCAGCATCGCTGTCATGCTGGTTGTCTGAAGGAAACACCTTACTGCTGTCACACCTCTGTACAGTCAGCAGTACGACTTCGCCTTCGGACCTTGGTTTTGTTGCTTTTAGTCTTACCGCTCTTCAACCGACCTGTCTGGCATGGTAGGACCTTGAGGAACGGTTGTTCCAGCCAGTATAGCTCAGTTGCTTCATCACGATAGGCAAGCCCGACCACCACGTCAAGGTAGCAACAACGGTCAGGAGTAGCAACAACGGTCAGGTCTTAAGTGTTTAGGATATCCTAAACACTTACTCTATATAGAGTAACACCAGTCAGCTACAACGTAGGACCAGGCACATATATGCATCGGTTCAAGGTGCCACACCTCACTAGCACAACAAGATGAACGCCAAATTCATAAAAGTAGTTACTTCAACGGTAGTAGTATGTAGAAGAAAGATTGAATATAAGGATATGATACAGGAAGAAAGAACTAGTTCATAGAAAAAAAAGATATAAAGCAATTTTAATTTCACGGGTTAAGGGAAGATAAACAGTGTACACCGCCGCCATTGTGATCGATTCTGAGCCATGTCACCCATAGTCTCCAAGCATTGTTTACGATAGTCACGCGGACTCCAACCAATTAGTCTGCATCTACTAACATGGCTCATACCAAAAGTTGGTGACTTTGTGGACTGATGCCACGTTTTGGTTTGGCTGCACCTAACTTCCTTCCAACCGTCTACATACATACATACCAATTCCTCAAACAAAACATAACTCATGTTACCCATTAAACATCAAACAGCTAAGGGATTCAGTAACAAAATGATCAGTTGTACTTGTCCTCAAGCACTTCGCTGACAACTTTTGATTCATTGGTTGTAAATGGAAACTCTAGGTCAATAAGCATACATCTAAAGTAGCTCCGTAACCGAAGTAACACATTCAAAGGGTCTTGAACACGATGCTATTTTTTGTAGTTGTATATGTATCCGTTTTGTTTTCTTTTATGGTGGTACATAAATAATAACTACTCATTAATTGACTATATAGAATTGCAGTGAGAAGGAAACCTGTCCTCTCAATGTTTTAGACTTATTCATATTGAGAAGTCATTATTTTGTGAAAAGCTTCCAAATAATCTTTATTTATTAACTAGACTATTTCGTGTAATCCCTTGAATACATCGGAACGGTTTTAAAGCTAAGATATTATTGAGTAAACGGGCAATAAAATTAACGTCTCACTAGTCAAGACAACACAAAGAAATTCACGTGAACTTGCGTCGTAATACTCTATATTTTTATCCAACTATTTAAACAATTTTTGGTACAAGGTATCACTAGTTATATATATATATATATATATATATATATATATATATATATATATATATATATATATATATATATATATATATATATATGTATTCAGTACGATGCAGTTTCATTCACTATAGTTCCATATGGAATATTCTTGTTTTTCTGTTTTATAGTGCACAAATGACGGCTTATAATGTATTGTATATAAAGAGCTATGAAAACAAGAAGTGCTCTCTCGATGTTCTGAACTGTGTCAATCATATTCAGAAATCATTAGATCGTGAGGTGGCTCTTAAAGGTCCTGATTATTTAGCTGGATTGTTTCGTCTAACTCCTCAGGTACAATCGAGGGGTTTTGAAGCCAAACAACTAAAACGGAAAACATCTAACGAGTCAATACAACATAATGAAAGTCACACGACCTTTCATCGTGATTTTCCGTCCATATCTGATGGCCCGAATTCCCAAGAATCCTTACAAATCATTTCTCCTGAGGTGAGTTTTAACATGGGATACGATGGTTAAAAAATCAGGAGTTAAAAGTGTACTTGATCAATACCTACCGACGCAAACTAAAACCAACGCTAATAAATGAGATGTAGTAGTACGATAGTTTGAGAAACTCAGATGCTAATAGTTGAATATTTTAATTAATGTTGGCGACAGATATTGATAATAATGAAGTCATTCACCTTTTATCCTTCTCTGAACCCTTTCCGATTATGTATCGTCCATAAACCTAATTCCATTTGATTTGGTTTTGCCCTGATGTTTTTATGCTTTTTTAAGCTATGACAATCCGAACAAATAGGGTGTAATCAACTTTCTTAGTCTGGTTTTAGTTATTTAACCTAGAAAGTAGCAAATTTATTGCTACTAATTTATTATAGTTTCATATTTGGTTTCAGTGTTGATACGATGAAATTGCATAACAGACGTTGATCACTTTCGTTGAAGAAGTAACCGAACCCGATCGTAGGAAACCCGATTTTATACTGGCGTGTTGAAAAACTGTAGAAATAGTATATTTCCCATCCATACATGTCTCAGTTTATGGTGAAAATAATGAAATATAAACTTAATTTAAAAGAGCTAAATTTCATAACATTGTAATATACCTATTTTCGTACCCTAAAATCCTTCATTACCTAACATGTCGACGATGGAAATTATCTCGTTTGACTGAATGTCTGTTAAATAATATAACTGCGATGCAAAATGTTAGATAATAAAGATTATCAGATGTGGTTTATTTTTCTGTTTTGTCGAAAATATTAGAATTTTCTCCAGGTTCCTCATTCAATATGTTGTGAAGTTGACACTATTAAGGTCGATATGTATTTTACATCAATTCCTTATGGATACAGTATGGATGGTATTTGCTAATTAGGTTTAGTGTAACATTTTAAAGTCAGTATTTTCTTCTGTCAATTTAGTTTAAACGATAAATCACACTTATCATATAGATAAGTGTGATCTCTCGAAACGTCGACAAGCGTATAATAATATATTCATTCTTTTGTGTGAACTTTGCGCTATACCTCAGATACGTTTTGCTTTCAACGCCTAAGACATGTCAATAAGATGAATTTAAGATATGAGAATATAAAGATAGAAGTTTTATGTATATTAATCAGGTTATATCATCAGAATATTTGTTAAATAATTGGTCTGGAAGTTGATCTAGGTTGGGAAAGCGCTTGACCACCAAGATCCTGTTTTTTTATCCGAATAGCTATTGTCTTAGACGTTTGAAGAACTCTTAGTCTGAGGGATTTAGGCAGATAACTATTAACACGATATTTTACTGTAAATCATTCTTCCATGTCAGCTTTATAACTTACTTTTAATAAACATGCCAGGATTAAACTGTTAATAGTTTTAACTACACAGGGAGACACTCGCTGGATTTATCTATTTATTTGAACACATAAATATTGGTACAAGAGGGCACCGAATATATATGCGCCACACAAAACAATGAGAATTTACAGAGAAAGGAAAAAAAAAGGTAAGGAACGTAGGGAATTATAAAAAAAGAACAATAATGGGGAAACGAAAAGGTACAATCAGAAGAAATCTTACAGTTAAGGAAGATACAACCACTTTTTATGAAAAAATTAAAAGAAGGTTATAGCAGGATCACCATTGGCTTCTATTCTGAGCCATATCTGATAACGTCTCTAGCCACTGTGTTACACCATCTCTCGGACCCCAACCAGGGAGTCGTGAAGTACCAACAGAAGCCAGCTCTTTGCAGCTTTCTTTCATACCACGACACCATGTCATATAATGACCACCTCTCCGCTTTTTCCAACCAATCCCAGAGTCGGCAAATAATGCACGACGAGGAATTCTCTGGGACGACATTCGTAGAACATGTCCAAGCCACCGAAGTCGGTGTTTCAAGATGGTGACATCAATTGCATTATCGTCTCTGTGCCCGAACACACGATGCCGAACCTCTGCATTACTAACATGGTGTTGCTACTGGATGTCAGCAATCCTTCGGAGACAGCAATGATGGAACACAGAGAGTCGTCTAACATCCTCAACTCGGAGAGGCCAGTTTTCACAAGCATAGAGCAAAACTGCTCTCACCGACGCGTCGTAGATCCGACCTTTTACAGCCAGAATAACATCACGAAGGCGCCAAAGATGGCTCAGGTTGGCCATATCCGCTCTGGCTTTCACTATACGTGCATTGATCTCATTACTCACGCCACCACCAGCACTTATGCAGCTACCTATATACACGAACTTCTCGACTACTTCAATCTGCTCACCATCCAGAGTGAGTACAGGATTAGAATCCTGCCAGTCATGTAGAAGTACTTTGCACTTCGAAGGTGCAAAGCACATACCATACCTACGGACACTGATTGCCAACTGATTAAGTGCGGATTGCATGGCTTGAACATTCTCGCACAGTAGGACAATATCATCCGCATACTCAAGGTCGAGAAGTCTTTCTCCAGGCAACAGATCCACACCACCATTACTTACATCCGTCAGAGCTGTTTCCAGAATGCCATCGATGGCAAAGTTGAAGAGGAATGGTGAGATTGGGCAACCCTGCCTAACCCCACTGCTCGAATGGAATAGTGGAGAAAGGTGGTTGTATGCCCTCACTCTGCCTGAGGTGTTTGTGTATAGGATGTTAATAAACTTCTCAGACACACCCTTCTTCAATAGACAATCCCAGAGAACAGTTTTGTCCAACGAATCGAAGGCAGCCCTGATGTCAAGAAACACTACGATTGTTGGCCTTTGATAATTATGACGGTGTTCTAAAATTTTGCGGAGGGTGAATATATGATCAACACATCCTCGACCAGAACGCAGACCAGCCTGCTCCTCGCGAGTCAATCCTTGTCGGGTTTTGAACAACCTACGAAGTATGACGGAAGCCAATAGCTTGGACGCAATCGAAAGTAGAGTTATCCCCCGATAGTTGTTACAGTAACGACGTGAACCCCTTTTTAAAGATAGGGACAACTATCGACTCATTCCATGACGTTGGTACACTCTGTAGTTCCTAGACCTTTGTAAACAACGTCGTCAGTCCCTTAGTCAGAAAGCCACCCCCATCTTTAAAAAGAGCCGGAGTTAAGTCGTCTGGGCCCAGTGATTTGTAACGTTTCAAGAGTTAGAGTTCCTTGCGGACTTCCGCCTCATTTGGTGGATCAGTCGTCACCAGCCATGGAGGGCAGGACAGTCTGACCGATGTTGTCGGAGCAGCAGGCCAGTTGAACTGCCCTTTCAAAAATTCTGCCCACCGTCCAAGACGTCGATGGACGTTATCGATTGGCGTTCCGTCATCTTCGCAGATTGTTTCGCTCACACCAGACTTCTTGCTGCCATTGGCTCGGATAAGTTGGAAGAGTCAGTTTGAATAGTGGACGTTGTTTCAGAAAAACTGCTTCAGTACTGGTATTCGGTGGTAACATACAATTTTCAACCAGGCAGTGATTCGAGAACGTTTAGATAGATAGATGAATACTGTTTATAAGAGTCAAATGGTTTGCCTACCGATCAAAGGGTTATCCTTTTTATACCTTCTTCACTAGGTATTAAACAATACAGTCCTGTATAAAATTGAGTGATAGTCATATTTTTATGTAATATCAAACTAATTTATTAGTGTAAAATGATTAACAGTGTAGTGAACGAGACCACAAATAGGGACAATCGAATGTATTTCAATACAAAATTACAGAATCACTTGGTAAAATTTGACAACCATACAAGGAATACTTCATTTACAAAATGCCAATCAATCGTCTCAGACTTCACTGTTCTTTCTGTTAAAACTTGTGACCCGCCGATTAAAGAGCAACGACTTAACGATCGAAACAGTGACGCATAAAACACGTGCGAGAAGCCTAGAGTCCTGATTGGCCCTACTTTCTGTCTAGCCCAGCCAGTTGAGTCCAGAACATCAATCTCAGCCTCGGTGATATATTTCAAACATACTGAGTTTATATACCAATCAAACAGACCACAACGTACCGATGAAATATAAAACAACATTTGTACAATAATTAGCCAGATGTGGCTGTGTATGATGGAGGTAGTAATTAATGTACTGGGTATAACTGAAGAATGGTAAAACGTATGATAATAATTTATGGATCAAAATAAAGCTTATAATAAGAGGAATATGAATATGTGTAGTTTAGTTACTCAATAATTATACAATAGAAATATGCGTTTAATATTGGTCCGTAAATGGTTCCCAAAAATTATCATTCACTATTCTTATCGGGATATAACACTTTCGTTTCCACATCAATCATTTTCTATTCTCGTTCTCTTTTCATCGATTTTCTTAAACTTCTACCTCCAGGCAATCCATCTTTGAATAATGATATGTACTACTCATATTTGTTGATATAAGTAGTATAAACCGTACAAGCAGTATGATATTCTCATGATTGTTCAATTTTTCTATTTTTTCTGAAAATTTAGGTTCAAAATGTATTCAATGGAAAGAATCCATTATGTATTATTACACAAATTGATAGACAGTTATCATGTGCTAAAACAATCAGATCTGAATTTCATCAGCAAGCATCAACATCTAATTCTATATATGAGAATAGAGATTATACAAATAGTTGTCATTCTTTATTATCAATATCTAGGAACAGAGAAATTAGTGATATTGCACCATCAGTTTTAAAGGTATGTGTTTGATGTTTGTAGTTTGTTGACGATCTTGTTTTGCCAAACTTATAGTTTTCATAATATTATATTTACCAGAGTAGAAGATAAGAGTTAAAGTAGAACAGTGTGCATTGATTTGCGCTACATCTTTTTTTATTATTTTAAACTTGATATTTTTGAAGTATGGTTAAACTGTTCAGTCATTTATTCATAAGCAGCGTAGAACTTGGTATATATGTGAGTCAGTTTAATCTGTCACACATTGAGATCCTAGTGTGAGGACGGTATACGGGTGAACTCGAGGAAGCTACATGTAGGGACTCTAGAATATTCTTCTAAAGGGTTATTAGATCAAATATCTTCGGCACTTCCTGAGCTTCTTCTTTGTCATCGTGTTTTGGGGTTAATAAATCTTCACTTATTATACTAGTCTTCCTGTTCTTAATTTCGCATCGTGGAAATTGCAGAAGTCTCTCGTTTCGAATATAAGTGATGAGTTTCCGATATAACAATCAGTGACAATCACATATAACAAGTAACATTCAATTGACAAGACGTATCACATAGTAGTAGAAATAGTAACAGTTTCAAACATTAGCAGAAAAATATTAGGCATAGAAGATAGAACTGGTGAAGATACAACATCATATAGACAACAACTTATAATCCAATATTATTAGAATGATGCATAGATTTGTAGAACAGTAACTTGTTAATCTAAATCCTAAAGTTTCATCACTATTTCATGTCAATATTCCCACTTCTTATAGACACGAAAACAAAAGTTATTAGTTGAATATCAGAAAGCAATGGAACCAATAACTTCTATTGATATTCCATTGGAATATGAAGAGAAACTTATTTCTTTATTAAAATAATATTTGACATATTATAATAATAACAATAATATTGATACTAAAGGGTTAATATTTTGTCATACTCTTTATATTTATATACTTTTTTGGTCATTTGTAAAGAACTGATGATGATGATGATTATTATTTTTATCATTTAGTGTTCATGTAAATATGATCTTAATTCAATGATATGGATATTTTCTTATTGTAATTATTTTATTTTAACACATAAGTATAGGTACAGGGAGGCACCAAATACATATGCGCCACACAAATCTCAATTGATTTGTGTGAGGGCTGTGATACTGCTCGGGTGCCCAAACCGAAGCAGGTGGTTTTCTTAGGGGGCCACACCCCGAGCCTTTGACCTGAACGTCTGACCCACAAGGCAGTGGAGCATCGTAAGGAGATGCAGTCCCATGGTAGCCAGAGACCAACGATTGGTTCATACGCCATTTGTTCCTTCAGGATACTGGAGACGGCCCATGTGCACCATTGGTTTGGGATCCGGTTAAAGCGCCGGACATTCGCTTTTCGTCCTCTCATTTTTGTAAACAACACCCCCGCCACGAGAAGGCAGTGAGTAGGACTTCCCTAGCAGAGGCTATATACGCATGGCCATGTGAGATCATTTGGAGAGGGAGAGCGGACTCTCCCCACTCTCGGCCATACCAGGGCATTTGGGGGCTTTTTATTGTAAAGTATATCTATTTATTTGTAAACATAAATATTGGTATAAAAAGGCACCGATTAGATATTCGACATACTAAGTCATTTGATTTGTGTAATACTGCCAGGTCGTCCAGTCCGAAACAGGTGATTTTCTTAAGGAGCTACACCCGGAGTTTTCGATCTAAAGATCTAACCCATAAGACAGTGTAGCAATATCAGATGATACAGACACAGAGTAGTCGTCAGTGATTAACAATCGATTCATATACTATTTGTTTCATTAGGATCCTGGAGCCTATATGTACCATTGATTTGGATTCAGGGTTTTCCAACTTTCTTCAGTAAACCTTCCGTGTTCACTAATGTGGTTAAAGCGCCTAATATTGGCTTTTCATCTATCTCAATTTCATAAATTATACTCTCACCGCAAGAAGGCAGTGATTAGGACTTTCCCTGAGTGGCTATATACGCGCGTCCATATGAGAGCATTTCGAGAGGGATAGTTGACTCTTTCCACCCTCAACTGTACCAGAGCATTTGAGCGTTTTATTGTAAAGAAGAGAATTGTTTAATCAAATGATTTATTTGTTTAAACAAGAACTTTCCTGCAGATAAACACACATTTTCACATTCCTTTTTGAAAAGACAGCAAGTGCCAGTCAAAATGGCTGAAAAGCATTTGTGTATCAATGCCAAGGTTGGACTTGAGAGTTTCAAATAATCTGAGCATTGGGTAGAAAGTTAATAATATATGTAATTTTTTTGTCATATCCCAATGAGTAGAAAAATAACATTTCTGATCTTTCGTCACAAATACACTTTTCTACTTAGTCAGTCACAACGTAGGATTAGGTACATATGTGCATCGGTCTATGTTGCCACAGTTTATTATGACAAGATGAACACCAAATTCATAGTAGTTACTTCAATGGTGATAATATATAAAAGAAAGATTGCATATAAGGAGATAGTACAGGAAGAAAGATATAGAGATTTTAATCTCACCGTTCAAGGTGAGACAAAGAGTGTATACACCTACGCCATTACAGTATACTCGTCCCTTATTTAATAGTCAGATATTTCGCCTTCACCGTAGGTGACGTAAGTTGGCGAAAGCCAAACGAGCTTTTCGAATCCGTGCTGAGATTTCGTCACACATCAACTCATTAGGACTGATCAGACTTCTTAGTTAAGTGAAGTTGTCAACGGGTTTGATTACTTCACTTCCTATACTTATTTCTGGTGTTGACGCACGCCAGTCCTGGAGCAGGAACTTGCATTTAGAGGAGGAGAAGCGCATCCCAAACATCCTGGCATTGCTGCTCAGTGCTACCAGACTATTTAATCAGCGTCTTCATCAAACGGGACTATGCCATGTGCGTATTCCGATCTCACGATTTCATTAGACTTGGGGAAATTTTGGGGGGTTTTGCGCCATTTCCCCAAAATAGGGGGACTGGTATTCTAAATCGAATAGTGGACCTCAGGGTAGGAGATCAATTCATTTAAATTCAGACGATGACAACATTCTTCCCAGCAGTATGTCTAGGATGAAATCAAACAGAAATGCGGATATTGTACAGCTTTGTCGAACACCACTTCAGGTTGCAATATCAGATGACAGTTCGCCAACAGAAGACGGAAATTTTTGCACTTGCCTCGAACATTTTGCTTAAATGTTGGCAAATTCACGTGAATATGTTAAATCGCCGACTGAACTACTCGTAGACATCCAAAAAGTAAGAGACTATTTATGTCTGGAATTACGTTAGCAGTCAAAAGATTTTCCTTGAAAAGATATAATTATCCAAAATTCCTATGGAATGAATACATGATAAATTCCCATACTGATCTCATCCATTCCGTTAATCCATAAGTCATACAAATCTATACAGGGGGGGCTAGACAACAAATGTGAGATCATTCTGCTAATGATTAGTTTACAAAAATGCCTACCCTTCATGTGCTCAAGTTATTTAAATACTCCAACTATCCACTCTCTATATATTTTCCATGAATAAACAATCCCTATGTAAAATATTCTTGGTTAGTTTATAGAATAAAGGCATAGCACTTGTCGATTCACAATACCATCACATCATTTGTGTGGCTTATTTATTTGAAACCCTGAAATTCATTGGCCTCAAAATATATAAACCGTACAATGACAACAGTACCAAATGAAACCTTCCGTAAACATTCAATACTTAGAGGAAGATTGATTATGGATACAGTGGTCTTGAGTGCTGTTAGAGGTATGAGGGCAGTTATCACTTCCCGGTTGCCCACACCGTGGAAGGGTTCTTCTGGAGGCACCTGAAAATGAAATTGGATTAGAGATGGTCTTAGTGACATGAGAGCGTGACCGCAGTGCCCAAGGACAACTGCTTGAGGTCGGTCACGCACGATCTTTTTATGGGTAGTTTTTGTGTTAGCTCCGTACGTGTTGAGACGGATATCCGTGGGATAAGTCAAGGTGTGCATTTCTGGGGTCGACCTTTTGTAACCCCAACCCTCCTTGTAGAAAGGCAGCATCGCTGTCATACTGGTTGTCTGAAGGAAACACCTTACTGCTGTCACACCTCTGTGCAGTCAGCAGTACGACTTCGCCGTCGGACCTTGGATTTGTTGCTTTTAGTCTTACCGCTCTTCAACCGACCTGTCTGGCATGGTAGAACCTTGAGGAAGGGTTGTTCCAGACAGTATAGCTCAGTTGCTTCATCACGATAGGCAAGCCCAACCACCACGTCAAGGTAGCAACAAGGTAACAACACCTTATAACAATTATGTTCATATCTGAATACATGGAAGAATAAATCATTGTCTGATGGTTATAGAAATGTTAGTTATATTCAAAATATATAAAAAATCAATAGTCATTTACAACTGGAGAAATAAATATATAAAGGGTAGAACATTAGAAAAATATCATTATTTAGCATAAACAGCTGGAAATATTAAATCTTCATTTTCATTGGATAGATCATTGAATTGTTGATTAGACTCCAACTTCATCATTACTACCATGTACCTTGAATTGCGTGTATTTAAAGTCTATATGATATTTGAAAAGAAAAAGAATATAATATGAAAAAGTAACAATACTAAGACCCATTACACAGTTATGCTAATACAACTAAGTGAGTAATATTAAGTCTAAAAATAAGCCTTGATATATATTTGGAATTGGAGTGTTCCAAAATATCCCTTGGGAAAGTTCATACGAACTAATAAAAACTTTGGAGATGCTTTATTCGATCAGTGATGAGTAGAAGCTTTTCAGAAATGTTTAGAAGGCTAAGAGCTAAGTGTGACGTTTTTCACTAGATATTTATCCATACAGCTACTTTATTTAGTATGATCCCGGAAAGTCCTAAAAGTTCAAGGTCATGCGTAACTATGAATGGCCTTGCTTTTATGTACGGAATTTCTTTGTTTTAACACATAGATATTGGTACAAAGAGGCACCGAATACATAGGCGCCACACAGATCTCATTTGATGTGTGTCAGGGCTGTGATACTTCTCGAGTGCCCAAACCGAAGCAGGTGGTTTTCTCAGAGGGCCACACCCCGAGCCTTCAACCTAAACGTCTGACCCACAAGGCAGTGGAGCATTGTGAGGAGATGCAGTTCCATGATAGCCAGTAACCAACGATTGGTTCATACGCCATTTGTTCTTTCAGGATACTGGAGCCCATGTGCACCATTGGTTTAGGATCCGCTTAAAGCTGGTGCCGGACATTCGTCCTCTCTTTTTTGTAGACAACATCTCTGCCACGAGAAGGCAGTGAGTAGGACTTCCCTGGCAGAGGCGGTATACGCGTGGCGATGTGAGAGCATTTGGAGAGGGAGAGCGGACTCTCCCCACTCTCGGCCGTACTAGGGCATTTGGAGGCTTATGTACGGAAACTAATCTTGGAGTAAAGCGTGGTTTTTTCTCTTGTTCTATTTGCCATGTAGATATAGCTTAAGATTATTAGAAGCGTATAGGAAATCGGACGGAGCGTTTATCTAACAAACTTATCATCTGGTAAATCTATATAACAATCGAGGATATATAATACAATGAAAATTTTACGAGGGTTCTATGAATTACAATCAAGGTAAATAAATGTCTATTTCATTGAGTATGTTGATAATATGAATAGATATATTAAATAAAGCGAACAATATCTTCGTTTGTGTGAATATACTTTATCCGAAATAGACATTCCAGATGTACAAAACTTAGTTGATAGCAAGAAGATGAAGGCAACATTGTTTTGCAAAAGTTTTAGTACACATGAATCCACTTCGAGAGACGATAGGTCATAGTACAAACGATTTAATAGTATTATAAATGAAGTGGGAAGCTTAGTTCTGTTAGTAGAGTTCCTTTGTACTATTTAAAATTGTATTAATTGAATTCGGCTACATATTCACTCTGAAGAAGTGGCGAAACTTTAGAAGTTCGACTTTTTATTCGTTGGGATACAACAAAAAAAACTTAGTTGTGTTAATGTGGTGAAGAATTCAAACACAACTTGTTAGCAATTGATGACAACTATGGAAATTAGATTACTACTGTAGAATAGATTGAGATCTTGGATAGTTTGAATTCGCGAATCAAACACTATGAAGAAGTTGAATAAAGAATCCATTTACTACAACTTGAAAGGTAGGATTACTTATTGTTGAATTCGTGAGCCGATCTAAACAAGACAACCATCAAAAACCTGGAAGCATTGAACGACACGTGATACAAAAGGTCCTGGGTTCAAGTCTCGTGTGTGTGTGATCGAGGATACGCACCACCGAAAAGTCCCGCGTGTGTGACGAAATGGTCGTCCAGTTCTTCCTAGTTTTCAATGATGATTTAGTTCAGATGGACTCATGAATTCAACTATTAAAATTTACTATAATCTCCATAAATCCCCATTCTGGTAATAGTCAGTTTGATGATAATCATATATTGTAGTAAAAATTAAGTATGCAAAATATATATCCCTTATAAGTATACCATTATTAATAAGAGAATTTACTAACCTGTTCACAAGCTGCAAGTAAACGAAAACTAGGATGATAAGGTAAAGATTTTACACCAATAAATTCTGATCGTAATACTGGTATCCAAAATACTAAACGTCCATTAGGATATAAAAGATAAGCTGCTAAATCCATTAAATCTTTGTAGATTTTATTAACTGGATATACTTCCTGAATAAATAGATCAAAATACGAACAACAAAAGTATCCAATTGTATTATACATGTATATATGCCAGAGACGTCCTAATCACTGCCTTCTCGTGGCAGTACTGATGTTTACGAAATTGACAGGATGGAAAGAGAATGATCAGTACTTTAACTGGATTGGTAGATACGGAGAGTTCACCTAGGGGAGATGTAAAAAATCCTTATTCTAAACCAATGGTGCACATGGACTCCAGTATCCTGAGGGAATAAATGGGGTATAAACCAATTGTTGGTCACCGGCTACAATAGGACTGCATCTCGTTGCGTAACTCTACTGCCTTGCGAATCAGATTTTTACGTCAAAAGCTCTGGGTGCGACCCTCTAAGTAAACCACCTGATCGGTCTGGGCATCCGGGAAGTATCACAGCCCACACACAAATCAAGTGACTTATGTAGCGCATATGTTTTCGGTATCCCTTTGTTTGTGTTCAAATAAATAAGCAACAAAAGAGAAAAAACTATAGCACAACTTTTAAGCTTCATTTAATTTCTGGTACCATTTTTATGCAATAGACACAAAATTACAAATGGACTGATCATTTCGTAATATTGACTTTTTGCCTAATGCATAATCAACATATCATCAAATAAGTAACTAAATGAAACTGTCTGTTAAGTTTGTTTATGCTCTCTGTCCTTATTCCCTTCCATGGTAGTTTTGTTTATTGTTTTATACTACTTATTTATATTCCGTAAACAGTAGTATTGTAGTGAAGGAGTACACAATTGGGGACAACCGAATTGTATTAAGTACAAAATTACAGAGTGAATTGGTAAAATAGAAAACCACATAGAAAATCGTCAATTTGCAAAATATCAATCCATCATATCAAACTGGACTGTTCCTGTTGCAAACATCAATCCATTGTCTCAAATTTCATTGTTCATGCGTTTTCATACGAATTGCATTGTGTTCCCGTTCTTCCTTTCTTGATCGTCCCACATCTTCTGCTGCCAGACATTACGTTTTTAAAACGCGTCATATACTACTTATATTAATATTAAGTAGCACGCACCACAGTATTACTAGCAATTTCAATGAGTATGTTGTAGCGCAAGCACATTGTATTTACGTACACTTATAACATTGTATTTATCAAGAAGAATAGTTTCTTTCAATCAATACAGTACTAATTCTCAACCTTCTCAGTATAATCCTCGTTTAAACAAAGGTTTCGATGTTTAACTGATCATGGATGCGTTTATACATGTTGATAAACTATGATCAGCTGTCACATACCTCACAAGATGAGGTTTGCAACTAATTTATATATATATATATATATATATATATATATATATATATATATATATATATATATATATATATATATATTACTTAATGAGCAACAGCATTGCAAACGAATCACTATCTTATGAACATCGGTTTCGCGTGTGTTTAGTGGAATAGATATGTATCCTAGTTGTGATCAGAATAACAAAGCCTTCGAACACCTTTTTCATAATGGGATTACAGGTTAATGACTTGAAAAACACAAATGTGCTGAGATAATATTCATAAAAATGATAAAATTACGTAATAAGAAGTGTTCGGATAATTACACAAAGAAACATATATTTGAGAAGAGGAAAGGGTGAGAAGAAGTGAAGTAAGATAAAGCGAAGAGAGTATGAAAAATAATAGTAAAAATAGGATCATTTATTAAGACCAAGAGGGAGACAGAAGTGTTACGAATTTCTTATGAACACAAAGAATTGAATTGTTAGCTGGAATCTCTATAACTTATGCTATGTGTAAGAGATGAAATCGAACCCCATAAGGAAAACGATAAACAACTTTAAATGACTTAGTTCGGTCTACTACATTATTATTATTATTATATTATTATTATTATTATAAGCTTTATTCAACATTATATTTGTGGTACACTATTGAATTCTCAGCATAAAGTATTTCAACAAGTTTCTTTTTCTTATATCTTGATCGATCCTGACGATAAATATTGAGTGATGGCCAGTTAGATGTTAGGAGTTTGATAATCGACATCTGAATAATGTTCATTCGTTTCAATGCATATTGCAAGCCACCATGATGTCTCTGATTGTACCTTTTTGTAATCCGTACAGCGAAAGATTGTAAACTTTTCGTAAACGCGCCTGAATAGGTTGTGAGTTCAATAGACATAATAGTGTGTTAAAACAAACAAGAAAACGGATAACTTGACGAAATATCTAGATGGGAGGAACAAGTAGCCCAGATGTTCAAGCAGGCCGCCGATCAATCATCATTAGGCGATATGACCTCTATAGATCAAGTGTGATAGAATAGAGCTGCATATTGTCTTGACAGTACTTTTTCCTAACTACAAAAGAGAGGTGTTCACTAACTCTTTGGCTCAGTTGTCTGGTAGTGCACCCAATACAATATAGCTTTCTCCACAGGAGCAGCTGAATGCGCAGATACACATAGAGGTGGTATAACCAGATAACTTATCCTTTACTTGGGCAATCACCGTAGATCGGGTCGAGTATGATAGACAGAGGTTGGTTGCATTAAACGTTCTCTTCACCGCTCTAGTCAGTCTATCACGTAGTACATTACCGGCTACATCACCATTGAATTGCAGCTTCAAGAAAAGAGGTTTCTTATTAGCTGTTAGTGTCGCTATTTTCTTGCTTGTTACACGCAAGTGTTTCTTCATGAAACCTTGTGGATATCCCATTTCAATCAACATATTATGTATGAGCTCTAATTCCTTGTTAATTGTATCGACTGAGCATATCTTCCTAGCTCTATTTGCAAGACACTTGACTAGATCTCTCTTGTAATGAAAGGGTACAAATCTTTAAAAAATGTGTGTATTGGCTTGTTCTATACACACCTCTGCTGATAGAACCATTTTCTTTTCTATTTAAAAAAATGTCGAGGAAATGTAGTTTATTATCTAGTTCCTCTTCACATGTCAATTTAATTGCAGGATGTTTGTTATTAAATAGTTCTAGTAGTTGCTCTTTTCTAATGTTCTGATCGGCAACGATGAAAGTGTCATCAACGTAACGACAATAGAAATCAAGCTTATTGATAATCTCTTTAAGAGGTCCGTTTTCTAGTTTCGTCAGAAAAAAAATCCTCAAGGATAGGACCTAGAGGTGAATACATCGCTATACCATCAATTTGTCTATAATATGTGTTATTAAAGACAAAATGGACATTCATTGTACATTTCAAAAGTAATTCTTTAAGACTAACCTCAGGAATTGCAATATTGATTTGTTTTTCCTGTAGTTGTTGGTACACAAAATCAATAGTTTCAATTAACGGTACATTGGTAAACAGTGAAGCGACATCTAATGACATCATCCGTTTCCCATTTAAACTCATATGTTCCACTTTAGAAATGAAATCACAAACGTCTTTCACGCTTCTGTTCACGACTAGTTTATGTAATGGGTTTAGGATTCGAACTAGCCACTTTGCAGTTTTATGATATGGAGAATCATACATATCTTAAACTGGGCGAACAGGAAGACCTGTCTTGTGAATTTTTAGGTAAACCATATAATCGATCCATTAGGTTTAAGTGAATCGTGTATGTATGGAGTAAGTATTCCTTTCGAACACATAGCGACTATATAGTTCACCTGAAAATTCACAAGACAGGTCGTCAACAGAAGCGTGAAAGACGTTTGTGATTTCATTTCTAAAGTGGAACATATGAGCTTAAATGGGAAACGGATGATGTCATTAGATGTCGCTTCACTGTTTACCAATGTACCGTTAATTGAAACTATTGATTTTGTGTACCAACAACTACAGGAAAAACAAATCAATATTGCAATTCCTGAGGTTAGTCTTAAAGAATTACTTTTGAAATGTACAATGAATGTCCATTTTGTCTTTAATAACACATATTATAGACAAATTGATGGTATAGCGATGTATTCACCTCTAGGTCCTATCCTTGAGGATTTTTTTTCTGACGAAACTAGAAAACGGACCTCTTAAAGAGATTATCAATAAGCTTGATTTCTATTGTCGTTACGTTGATGACACTTTCATCGTTGCCGATCAGAACATTAGAAAAGAGCAACTACTAGAACTATTTAATAACAAACATCCTGCAATTAAATTGACATGTGAAGAGGAACTAGATAATAAACTACATTTCCTCGACATTTTTTTAAATAGAAAAGAAAATGGTTCTATCAGCAGAGGTGTGTATAGAACAAGCCAATACACACATTTTTTAAAGATTTGTACCCTTTCATTACAAGAGAGATCTAGTCAAGTGTCTTGCAAATAGAGCTAGGAAGATATGCTCAGTCGATACAATTAACAAGGAATTAGAGCTCATACATAATATGTTGATTGAAATGGGATATCCACAAGGTTTCATGAAGAAACACTTGCGTGTAACAAGCAAGAAAATAGCGACACTAACAGCTAATAAGAAACCTCTTTTCTTGAAGCTGCAATTCAATGGTGATGTAGCCGGTAATGTACTACGTGATAGACTGACTAGAGCGGTGAAGAGAACGTTTAATGCAACCAACCTCTGTCTATCATACTCGACCCGATCTACGGTGATTGCCCAAGTAAAGGATAAGTTATCTGGTTATACCACCTCTATGTGTATCTGCGCATTCAGCTGCTCCTGTGGAGAAAGCTATATTGTATTGGGTGCACTACCAGACAACTGAGCCAAAGAGTTAGTGAACACCTCTCTTTTGTAGTTAGGAAAAAGTACTGTCAAGACAATATGCAGCTCTATTCTATCACACTTGATCTATAGAGGTCATATCGCCTAATGATGATTGATCGGCGGCCTGCTTGAACATCTGGGCTACTTGTTCCTCCCATCTAGATATTTCGTCAAGTTATCCGTTTTCTTGTTTGTTTTAACACACTATTATGTCTATTGAACTCACAACCTATTCAGGCGCGTTTACGAAAAGTTTACAATCTTTCGCTGTACGGATTACAAAAAGGTACAATCAGAGACATCATGGTGGCTTGCAATATGCATTGAAACGAATGAACATTATTCAGATGTCGATTATCAAACTCCTAACATCTAACTGGCCATCACTCAATATTTATCGTCAGGATCGATCAAGATATAAGAAAAAGAAACTTGTTGAAATACTTTATGCTGAGAATTCAATAGTGTACCACAAATATAATGTTGAATAAAGCTTATAATAATAATAATATAATAATAATAATAATGTAGTAGACCGAACTAAGTCATTTAAAGTTGTTTATCGTTTTCCTTATGGGGTTCGATTTCATCTCTTACACATAGCATAAGTTATAGAGATTCCAGCTAACAATTCAATTCTTTGTGTTCATAAGAAATTCGTAACACTTCTGTCTCCCTCTTGGTCTTAATAAATGACCCTATTTTTACTATTATTTTTCATACTCTCCTCGCTTTATCTTACTTCACTTCTTCTCACCCTTTCCTCTTCTCAAATATATGTTTCTTTGTGTAATTATCCGAACACTTCTTATTACGTAATTTTATCATTTTTATGAATGTTATCTCAACACATTTGTGTTTTTCAACTCATTAACCTGTAATCCCATTATGAAAAAGGTGTTCGAAGGCTTTGTTATTCTGATCACAACTAGGATACATATCTATTCGATTGTTATCATTGACTCATAAACTGCCTTGATTGGTTTTATTAATTTTATATATATGTATATATAAATATTACTGTATATTAGATTATTGCATGATGACGATCTAATGGGAAACCATATTATTCGCTTTATGTTGTTCTAAACTGATAGATGGTTCGGTTTCGGAGAGAGATTAACGATGAGTTCAGTGTGGTTATTATTAACTACGATAAGTCCATTTAACGTTTTATCAAAAACATTTGCTCCATTATGACATCATTGCTATCCTACATTATACTACTTGCAATATTGTGCGGTATCATTTATATCTTACCTAATGAATACTTTTACTAAACACATCATCTCTACCTACATTGATGGATTAATTGTTTGGTTAGACTATAATGTATGGATGACTTTTGAGGGACTTTAGACTAACATCAGCTATAATGACAAAACTCTATTCAGCCAAATGGATGATTGAATTTTCGCGCCAACATCCAAGACCTGTTATCTTATACTTCTGATTGGTTCGTCCATATATTATAGTCTCGCCAATTATTTAGCTTAAATACAGATGAAATTTGACTTTAACCATTTAGTAAATAATAAAACATACATGTAAAAATGGTTCACTTACTTTGTGTGGGAAATGCGGTAAGTCATGTGGTACCAGAACTAAAGATTCTCCATCAACTTCATCTTCATCTTTATTCCCATTGTGATTTTTATCACTGTACAAGGATAAAACAATACCATTTATTGACTAATATATAGGGTTTAACAAGAAAAGACAGAGATTTTAAAAAAAAGAGAAGTTTGAGTGTAAATGTGTACTAAATTTCAATTGATGGATTGCTGGGTGGTGACCAATGTCATACGTGTCTAGTTCTTATTATTAGTGCAGATCGGTCGCGGCCCGGATAGCTCAGTGGTAATGTCTCTGACTGTGAAGCTGGGTGACACGGGATCGAATCCGCCAGGGAGCACCAGTTCCCTTAAGATTACAGTTACACCTTGCTGACGAGTGCCAAGCAGCACGAAACCCGGGTCCAGGGTTTCCTGTGGACTACCTCTAACCACCATCTAGTGTACTAAATTTGGAATATACCATATATACTACTGGACCATACCATTGAGGAATCCTTCACACTTACTGGAATTATTAACCATCTATAATTGTGGATATTTAATACCAGATCAATTTGGAACATGCACTCTCCTGGTGAACTAAGTAACGTCCCTTATTTCTATTGTGTTTATGACATTTAACTTATATATATATATAAATATTACTATTTGTTATTAATAACTCTGTCATTACCTTTTGGATTAATATATTGTCTGGTCCACCACAATTATTTGGTGAGCCTCTTGTTTATCCTCAGTGTTATATTGTTTACCATTTCACACGTTATACTGGTTTATTTTTCTCATAATTTCATCTTCCACTAAACTTATCGATATTGATTCCCCTCCAGTAACAACTATTGTCTCATTATCTAACTCTACTGAAAACATTTTAAATTCAGTTAATACTGTCTCAGAATTCAGACTCCCAACTTATGGAGCTAATAACCCAAGAATCTGGTTCGCCCAAATTGAAGCTTTATTCATGGCTCGAGGCATAAGATCCCAGGCAACAAAGTATGCGTAGGAAGTCGGCGCACTTCCTATTGAGATTGCCACTGAAGTAGGAGATTTAATCGACCACGTTCCAGAATCAGAACCATATGATAAGGTAAAGGCCGCCGTAATACAACGCACATCAGTATCAGATGAGAAAATGCTTCAGCAACTTCTAACAGCATGCGAATTGGGTGACAGGAAGCCATCACAATTATTACGGCATATGAAACAACTAGCGGGCCCGTATAAATTAGACGAGGCCTTACTGAAACAAATGTGGTTTCAACGACTGCCACATAATGTTAGACAAATCCTTAGTATGTCCGGAAACTCCATCACCTTAGATGATTTAGCCGACATGGCAGATAAAATGATGGAAGTCTATCACGATAGTTACTGTAAACTCTTTGCAAGCAGCTGAACCAGTAGATATCAATTATCTAGCTTCCTTCCAAAAACAGTTAACGCAATTAACGAGCCAGCTAGCGTCACCACAGACGACAATTGCAACTGTTCAAGCTAGACAAGTGAGATCCTCTTCCAAACGAAGATCTTTCTCGAGACAACGATTACGGTCACCCAACCTGACGACTGGTATCAGTAGGTATCATAAGAGGTATGATAGAAAGACACGTCGTTGCACACAACCGTGCAACTTCTCAACAAACAGCCTTGAAAATCAGGGAAACGATCCGGCCAGTCAGTAATGGCGGCGTCTGCTACTGGCCAACACGCTAGCCGCCTCTTCCACATCAGGGATCGTATTTCTGGCTCAGACTTCTTAGTCGATACAGGAGCAGAAATCAGCATAATCCCACTGCACCTCTCGCGGCGACAACAAACGACAAGTACCAAGTTGTCACTTATCGCGGCTAACAATAGTCATCAAAACGTATGGAGAGCAATTTCTCATATTAGACCTAGGACTCCGGAGACGATTCACATGGGTTTTCATCGTCGCTCAGGTCAAACAACCCATCCTCGGAGCCGATTTTCTTAGCTCCTACAATTTATTAGTAGACATGACCAAGAAGAGGCTGCTGGATGAAAATACACGTTTTCAGGTGAACGGTACACTTACCACTGACTATGAGATCCATGGTGTACGAATAATGAGACCTGCGAACAAGATCTTCAACGACAACCTGACTAAATACGAGTGCATAATGAAATCGGATTATCAAAAAGAATGCAGACCACATCAAGTACAACACCATATTACTACTACGGGACCATTCACTCGCGCCAGGGCAAGACGATTACCCCCACACAAGATGCAGTTCGCGAAGAAAGAATTCGAACATATGATGCAACTTGGGATAATCAGACAATCGAACAGTCCCTGGGCTTCGCCTCTGCACATGGTTCCAAAGAAGGACCAAGACTGGCGACCATGCGGGGACTACAGACGGTTAAACAATCAAACTATTCCAGACAGGTACCCCATACCACATCTACACGACTTCTCTTTAAACCTACATGGAAAACAACTTTTTTCGAAACTCGACCTAGTAAAAGCTTATCACCAAATTCCAATGGCGCCCGAAGACATTGAAAAAACAGCAATAATTACTCCTTTTGGCCTGTTTGAATTTTTGAGAATGCCATTCGGGCTAAAAAAACGCCGCCCAGACGTTCCAGAGGTTCATGGACGAATTCACTCGAGGATTAGATTTTGTATTTGTCTATATTGATGACGTTTTGATTGCCAGCTCATCGCTCGAAGAGCACATTCGACACTTGCAAACTCTCTTCGAACGCTTTAAAAAGCTTTTACTAGGTCGAGTTTCGAAAAAAATTCTTTTCCATGTAGGTTTAAAGAGAAGTCGTGTAGATGTGGTATGGGGTATATGTCATGAATAAAGCTTCAATTTGGGCGAACCAGATTCTTGGGTTATTAGCTCCATAAGTTGGGAGTCTGAATTCTGAGACAGTATTAACTGAATTTAAAATGTTTTCAGTAGAGTTAGATAATGAGACAATAGTTGTTACTGGAGGGGAATCAATATCGATAAGTTTAGTGGAAGATGAAATTATGAGAAAAATAAACCAGTATAACGTGTGAAATGGTAAACAATATAACACTGAGGATAAACAAGAGGCTCACCAAATAATTGTGGTGGACCAGACAATATATTAATCCAAAAGGTAATGACAGAGTTATTAATAACAAATAGTAATATTTATATATATATATATAAGTTAAATGTCATAAACACAATAGAAATAAGGAACGTTACTTAGTTCACCAGGAGAGTGCATGTTCCAAATTGATCTGGTATTAAATATCCACAATTATAGATGGTTAATAATTCCAATAAGTGTGATGGATTCCCCAATGATAGGATCCAGTAGTATATATGGTATATTCCAATTATCATCTGTAAAGATAAATGGTATCTGATTCAGACTTCAG